CTTTATTTGAGTCTAAAAATTTAACATATCTGCTGTGTGGACGTATGTTTACCTTGCCTAGCAAGCTATACCTTTTTTTTTTGCATGCAGTGTGATTTTTATGTTTTTTCGCATGCACTGTGATATCTGATTTTTGTTTGAACTTATAATAAATAACTCAGTTTAAAGGTGCGGGCACACAAACAGTCTTGTCGGTGATTTTTGTCACAGACTCGAATCTTATCTAATATACAGTCAGTTGTTTTCCACTATGTCGATAATCACATGCAATTGAAAGGAAAATGAATCTGATTGGATGATGTCGGTCTGTCTTGTAGATGATAAATTAATCAGCAATAATTATATAACTGGTTTGATGTTATAAATCCTGTCTGCAACTTGATAATCTTGTCGTGGAAGCAAGGGCACACGTGAGATTTTACTCAAAAATCCGCAACCAAGACTGTTCACATGCCTGCACTTTGAGTCCTGGACAATCTGAGTTTCAGTGTAAAAGTTTAATATTATTAAGATTAAGAATTTAATGTAACTCACTGAAACTGAAAATCAGCTTGTCCAAATATTAACCCCACTATATTTCTAACCCTGGGGGTAGACAAGCTTACTTGATCGCCTGATCATCGAGTTGAATTTTAAAATCGCTCAAAAAATTCACTTGTGTGTCTGCTTGTGTCAATTTTTTAACGCCCGTCCGAATCGCATACATGAAAAATGATTATTTATGCTAGTGATTAAATTTGTTCGTCTGCCTGTCTCTGGAGATCGATATTTCTTAAGCCAATCAGACTTGATTCTGATATCATGTGACATTTAGAAGGGCTACCTAAGCATTTGTGTTCCAATCACATGATCGTTGATAATATTCCTCTGAGTGATATTTGCTTCATGTGCCCCTTCATAAACGGGCAACAAAATCCGCTCCTCTGCCCCTAGGATTAGCGCATGACACACTACTGTCAAATAATGGTCATTTTATCTTCTCAAATCAATAAAATCAAACTTTAAATTCTACAAGTTGAAAAGAGTTTTTTTTTTTCAAACAAAATCTTTCACCAAATAATGCTAGCAATTTTTTCGTTCTGTCAGTGAAAACTCTGGAATTTTTCGAACGGCCAAGGCAGAAAATCGTCACCTACATATAGACAATGATGACAGGGAGATAACTCTAGAGGGTTTTAATAATGCAGATAACAGGATACTTCAGGCAGAGAAACGTGCTGCATGGCGACAGGCCAGGTGTGTGTTATTTTAGTTTCAAGGTCTGGTTATATGTAAAGGTTCAGCCCTGTAATCCATGTAGTCTTGGTTACCCAGGTTGAAATATTTGCCTGTTTCAATGAACGTGGGCTCGGACTTCAGGTTCAGAAGGTTGTCGTTAATTTTGTTCTGTTAGATGAAAAAAGTATGGTGCACGTTAGACCGAAACATCTGTCTCTATTCCAGCCTCTAATAGTTATTTAGACAGATGTCAGCTGGTGTAGAGACAGAAAAAATAGGCCCTGTTAAATGGGGACATTCCACATCTCCGCAGGTGCAGAGGTTTTAAACCTATTTAGATACCTCAGATATATTTGGAAAGATGAATATTTTTGTAGTTCAGTCATGCCATCATTTTGACCATTTATGTCATGTCTCCGGTTCCATCAAAGTTTTTTTTGACGAAACTGATCTAGCATCGGCCATTTATAACTGCGAGCGTAGTTCAAAGGTCACAGAGTCACGTGATACTAACAAAACGAAAGTTACGGTGATGCCCAACACTAATTTACAATTATCTTAAAGGTAATTCAAAATTATGTTAGAGAAAACTCATCTTTGGAGTTGTGGAAAATCCCCATTTAACAGGGTCTTTTTCTTCTGACTGTACTATTGCTGACAACTGTCAAAATATCCACCAGATATCGACTAGAGGCAGATGTTGCAGTCTAGCTGCACGCAAGCTCTGTGGATTCCATGAAAACCAGGCTTCTCTACAGACCAGGCAGCGTAGCTACTCAAGCTATCTCACTTTCCATATAAATATGTATGAGTAGATCTGAACCACCACATATAACCAGGCCTTTAGTTTGATTTCTCTGGGTTATATTGTATTTTCAATTATAAGTTATAATTAAAGCATGGATTGTTAATAACTAGTTGATATTATAGTATATATTATAATGTTTTAAATGTTATATCTAAATATTTATAACTATTGATCTCTATGTTTTACAAGTCTGAACTATCATAGTGTGTTCAGATGACTAAAGTTAAGGCCGCTGAACAACCAACCGTTTTTTGAGCCCGATTTTTTTTAATCGTTATAAAACTTAAACGGATAGTTTCACCATTCGTTTGACCAATCATACTTTAGTCTCAGAAACAGGTATTTTTTAGCTAAGTTAATCAGTAATAGTGTTCACAGCTCACTGTCAAAATTTGAGCCTTCAAATCCATGTGTCTAGAATTATCTACATTTGAATGTTAAAATGACAACTCGTCTTTTCTTGAGACACTGTCATATATAGAAAAGACATCTATAGAAATAGGAAAATAAATTTCTAGTTTGAGATATTTTTGAAGGAATTATGTGATTTTCATACATTTCTAGTATTTCTGAACACTATTTACATATATTCAACACTCAAATCAAACCCGTGAAAATGGTGAATCTGTCTCTTTAAGCTATGTTAACTTGCACCTATTTCGGAGGTGGTTTAAGACCTGGCTTAAATAGTAAAGCCAGCTTAGTCTGAACGAAACTAGCTAACATTAAGCCAGATATGTTATGTCTCTGCTATGTCTCTGCGTGTGCACTCTTTTTAACAAATTCCCACCAATATTGTTGTTGTTATAATGCACATGCATAATGGTTTATGACCTCTGAACTTCCCGATAACTTCCTGTAAACCAGGCTCAAAGTAAGTTTAATAGTTAAGCTTGTGTTAATTTTAGTTATCTGAACATACTAATAGTAAAGTTGTTGGAAGTTTTTGCTTGCTTATTAAAGTGTTTTATATTATTATTTTATGTTTGTTATATATGATGTAAAACCTTCACCTTGACTTCTCATTTCTATATTGAAATGGAGGGCGTATATTAGTGTCACCCTTATCCATTAATCCATGATTGCTTGTAAACACTCTAGAAGGATCAATTCTTGACGGATTTAAATGAAACTTGGTGTGAGTGTTAGTAATCATCCAAGGATGAACCCTATTGAAAATCAGAAGAATCAAAAAATATTTAGTATGAGTTATTGCCCTTGTTCTAGAAAACACTTTCAATTTTTAGCTCGTAAACACTTTAGAAGGCACAATTCTTGACGGATATTGACGAAACTTGGCATGAGTGTTTGTAATCACCCAAGGATGAACCCTATTGAAAATCAGTAAAATCGAAAAATATTTAGTATGAGTTATTGCCCTTGTTCTAGAAAACACATTCAATGTTTAGCTTGTAAACACTCTAGAAGGCACAATTCTTGACGGATATTGACGAAACTTGGCATGAGTGTTTGTTATCACCCAAGAATTAACCCTATTGAAAATCAGTAAAATCGAAAAATATTTAGTATGAGTTATTGCTCTTGTTCTTGCAAGGCATTAAATTTTTCATACTGATGATTGTTACTGGTGATTGTTACTGGTGATTGTTACTGGTGATTGCTCACTAAGTGCCTTCTGTTGAATAGTGACTAGTTTCTTTTCAACCATCCTAATCACTATACTAAATGTTTGATGCATCACTATTGCCAAAAGGCCCTTCACTATATCATTTCACTGATTCATTGTGCCAGAAATGAAGATCCCTGTTCTATTTTTTCAGGATGAAGTCTCTGGAAGCAGATGCAGTAAAAGCCCAAGTTGTCATCTCACGTGCTCAAGAACTCAAAACTGATCCTTCCAAAAATAAAGCTAATATTTCATCAGATTTAGATATTGCCTTCGCTGGTAAGTACTTATGTTAACTTGGATTCTGATACAGTTAAACCCCTTTCAACCTGATTCTCATCTTACAGTGGTCTGGTTTGATCCTGGTTTAGAGAGGTTTCACAGTTTAATGACAACGAACATCTCAATATTCACAATTAGACTGCACAGTTACGAATCAATACACGCTGGTTCCCAACCTGGTGTTTTCACCCTCTGGGTGTGTGGGACTAGGATGTCAGGGGTATGACCAACTGGTGTAGGACATGAATTTATTTGGAATTGAGAAAGCACCTCAGGTCATCACATGCTGAATTGTGGATGAAACAAATTTAGGAGGTGTGAAAGGTCCAGGTGATTGCTCCAGGGGTGTGAAGGCTGAAATAGGTTGGGAACCACTTCACTAAAAGATACGTGTTCAACCATACGACTTATTGTGAAGATAATCACAGACAGAAAAAATAGTAAAAATATTTAAAATCATGAGAAGATCTAGATCTAGGTAAAGATTGTTAAAGAAAATACTCAAGTCAAAAAAAGTTATTTTAACAAATTTATTATGAAAAATATACATGATATATCAAATTATTATACACATTCTGATATACACGAGAATTCCATATCATTTCTTATTAAAGGGAGTTAAAAATAAATCATGTTGATACACTATGATTATAGTTATTCAACTTCAAGTTATATAAGGAAAGAATCGCGGTGCGTTGATTCATTGGTTGCAGCCCTATTCTTAAAGATGGGTTTCCCTATTTTTTAGTTTCAAATGAAGCAAACTATTTGATTAATTGGTGTTTCTAATGAATTATCATATATTCTTAATCATATCATTATGTTCTTATTGCATATAATCAAAGGTTTTAACCAATTATAAATGTCCATGTATTTACAGTCTGGATAAACAAAAAAGACTTTTTGACCTTTCTATAGAGCAGTAAAACCACTACAGATATTGTTTTAGTTTATATACAAATATAAATCTTTACGATATAAGGATATTTTAATCACTATTTTTTTTGTCGTTTCATATGTAATGTTCGTTGTGTATGCTAGGCAGCTATGACGGGTGTAGCACCAACAGGGTTTGCTTACTCTTCTAGACACCTGATACCACTTTTCATTATGAAATACTTACTCACTTATAATTGATATACTTCCTCATATGAAAAGTTCATTAGCCCTTCCAATATTTAATTTCGCTAATATGTTGTTTTAGATTTTGAGTTTTATTTAATAGTTTGGATCGTTAGTACTTGGTTTATTTATTACACTTGTTATTTGAAAGGTGTAAACACTCTAGAAGGCACAATTCTTAACAGACTTAGTGAAATTTTTTATCATCGCATGCAGATGAACCCTATTGAAAATCCGAAAAATCAAAAAAATAATTAAAATGAGTTATTGCCCTTGTTGTTGTTATTTTGTTAAAGGTTAATTTGAAGTTATTTTTTCTCTATAGATGATGATGATGGTCACACTCAAAATGGTCAGCCTCATACTCAGGTTGGTACCTCTATTCAAATTAATATTATTTTGTTTTTATAAGCTTTTATTTTTAACATAGTCACTTCAGTTAGGGTCTAAAGACGGCCTTCTTGAAAGTTCGTCACAAGCCAATCATATTACTGCACTCTATAATGCTGTTATTTATCGATGCGAAAAAAAGACGAAACGAGGGTCTAATGTTTCTAAGAATACACTTTTTCTTCATGTCACAAAATCCCAGCTTTGGAGAGGGCAGACATTTGAAACTGACTAATGTTCTAGAGGCCAGTCTTTAGACCCTAACTGAAGTGGCTATATTAAAAAATAAAAGCTAAGATAATATGGAAGGAAAGTTTGGTCTAATTATTTTGTTTTTGTCTGGATGTTTTACTTTAAGACAATGATACACTAGGTCTGTAGCAATGTAATCAGAGAGGCTCATTGGACATGCCCCCCTTCCCCACCCCCTCAGGCCTGTGAAAGGTTTTATTTTGATGTGAAAATTAAGCTCTCTAAAAACTCAAAATTCATCTCAGGCCATCTGAAGTCCTTTGGCTTCTGGGGTCTCTGGTTTGCGTTGGAGAGACATCTTTCGTTTATGGCCAATCCCATTAGGTATTAACCAATCAAAATCCTTCAATCCCTCACTTCAGTTGGGGTCTTAAGACGGCCCTCATAAACATTCATCACAATAACCTTTTGACCTGATTTGAGGACATTGGCTCTAACCAATCAAATTCCTTCACTCTCCCTTCAGTTGGAGTCTTAAGACGGGCCTCATAAACATTCAAATTCCTTCAATCTCTCACAAAATGCCAGCGCTGGAGAGAGCAGAAATTTGATTGGTTAAAGCTGGGGTCATTAGTTGATATTGTATTGCTGTATTTGGAACACCTCATCTCTGTTATTTGTATATTATCATTGGATAAAGATAAACAGTATGAGTTTATATTGTTTTTATGAACCTGTGTTATGAACCTGGGAACAGTTCTGTTGTGTGATAAAGATAAACAGTATGAGTTTATATTGTTTTTATGAACCTGTGTTATGAACCTGGGAACAGTTCTGTTGTGTGATAAAGATAAACAGTATGAGTTTATATTGTTTTTATGAACCTGTGTTATGAACCTGGGAACAGTTCTGTTGTGTGATAAAGATAAACAGTATGAGTTTATATTGTTTTTATGAACCTGTGTTATGAACCTGGGAACAGTTCTGTTGTGTGATAAAGATAAACAGTATGAGTTTATATTGTTTTTATGAACCTGTGTTATGAACCTGGGAACAGTTCTGTTGTGTGATAAAGATAAACAGTATGAGTTTATATTGTTTTTATGAACCTGTGTTATGAACCTGGGAACAGTTCTGTTGTGTGATAAAGATGATTATTATTTATCTAGTCTGTAGAATGTCAAATTTTTTTATTATTTTTTTTTTTTTTATCGATGTTAGTTTTTTTCGCCATCACTCCGGAAACATTTAATAGTGGAACGTAGGGACGGTGAAACGACAGTGGAAGAAAGGACTAATTTGATTGGTGAAAATTCTCGCACGATTACCGAGGAGATCATTGATGAGAAAACTGGCAAACCTACATTCAGGACGGTACAGGTTATAGAGAAAACGTTGGAACGGGAGGTATGATGAGCCTTGCTGGCTTTCCATGTCACAGCTTTCCACGCCTTCCTTCCTTCCTCACCTACCTGGAGTCCATCACTTATATATTCCGTCCGGGTCATTGATGGTTATAGTACTTACTATGGGTTCTGTATCTTCTAGACACCTGATACCACTTTTCATTTCTGGTTTTGTTACCATTTATTTTTTTTATGTTAACAGCTATGACGGGTGTGGCGCCAGGCAGGGTGTGCTTACTCTTCTAGACACCTGATACCACTTTTCATTATGAAATACATACCAATGATTGATATACTTCATCATATGGATATGAAAAGTTCTTTAGCGGGTTTCAATGTTTCGCCAATATGTTGTTTTGGATTTCGGGTTTTGTTTTGTGGTTCGGATTGTTAGTACTTGGTTTATTGATGGTATTATTTTGTTGTTTTGTTATATTTTGGTGTTCTCTTGCACTAATATGCTGCAGG